GGTGGATTGTCACCATGAGGATGCACCAATCTGAGGGCTGTTGCCCAACACATCCTTGACCGGAATCTCCTGTCCAAGGGCTCTCCGTGGATCTGGGGCTGGAAGCCTGGGCTCTGGAAAAAGCTATCACAACAGAAATCCATAGCCTGAGCTCCCTGCATTTGAGGACTCGGAACCTGATGCGTGGGGATAGAAATTGCGAACACATAGCCTTTGCAACAGGCCTTTGAATGGTTTTGCTAGTGCAAATCAGGGCAGGACTTGTCAAATTGTGGAAAGTTCCAGGCAGCATCGCAATGGTGACAGGCGGCTCAGCAAGGCAGGGCAAAATGAAGTTGGACATCCTGTACTTTGACTTTCCAACGACAGTGACAAGGGCACAAGCCAAGGGTCGTGAACCGTGATGGACATTTGCGTCAAACCGCTACCAGGTGGGTAAATACCGCACTCAATCGGCGGTGCATCAGCAATGGGAAGGAGTGCTTTTCCTCAAGTTCAGATTGAGCCTGCATTGTCGACTTAGTGCCACACACTAAACGCCGCGTAGCTTTGGACCTCCGATATTCGATCGTGCCAAAATCTGTTGGTTGCATTTTGCTTACCTTCCTAGACCACAAATATTGCATTACAGGCCAAAACAAACAACACAAATCAACACAACATCCATCACTCCATAGTTCTGCAACTTCGTCCTGTCATAAGCCCCAATTCCAAAACCCTATCCCAAAATATCCCAAACTACCGTCATTTAAGATTGTTTTTTGTTGAATCCGCGTACAGTATGTATCGTTGTAGGCGGAAATCTTCGCAGGTGCGTCATCTGTGTCACATAATTATACTGTCAGCAGATGACATGGGTACTTTCCAGAATCACTTTGAGCAAATGACATGGGTCTGGAATATGGTGAATGTCATCAAAAAAAAGATGACATTGGTTGGTGGGATGGCTCACACTTAATCCACATTAACTTTGTCATTGGTAACTTTGTCATTGGTCTTGTACAAGCAAGAAACGCTTCCATGGTAGACACCCTTTTTTCTACCAACTTTCCCACTAGCATCTTCCTGACTGCATTGTCATGCGCTAATGCGAAGCTAGGTGCATACCACAAAACAGATGACATAGGACACTCTCAATGTTTCTCTGTCCACACCCCCCTTGACATGGGCAGTTCTCAATGTTTCCAATGTTCACAGTGTGGCATGTATTGTCCCAGATGACATGGGTTTGCTTTTTCCCGGCAGGATAGTTTTTAGAGTCGTCATGTCACTTGCCTAGAGTATAGACACGAACAATCCTTGTGGGATGTATGACTGGTCAGGATGCATGATGTTTCTGGCCACGGCAACTTCCCCTTATGAGGAGAAAGGCGAACACATATTTGACATGATTTGACTTTATCAGCTTGGTATCCACTTCCGTCTCTTGAAGGGCTTGAAGCGGCATCCTGGAAGAACACACTTGTCTGCAGAATTCCGGAGTGTTCCGGACGATGTGGCCACCACTCACCCCTCTCTTATGCTGGGTTGGCTCAGCTTCTGCGCGCTTGATGGTTCAAAACAAGAAAAAACATGACAAACACACTACAGAAAAATATCTTATCTTGCCAAGGGGTGTTCTTTCTGGAGGATGAATCAGGATGATCGGCCCAGGTGGAGTGAAGCACGACTAGAGTTCACAGGACATCGAAATCAGGCCTGCCTTGGTCCTGAAGTCAAGCTCAAACAAATCCTTGTCAACTGTGTTCACCTCAATTGGTGCAACTGACTATGGTGAAGCACATCTTGCTGAGGGGGCATTGAATGCTGACAGCCTGACAGCATTGCAACACCCATTTGTGCAAGCTTGGAGACATTTCCGGTTTGTGACAAAAAACTCAAGTCGACTGCAGCAAAGGTGCCGCCCTTGATGAGCAAAACTCAAAAACCAGGTCGTAGAACATGAGGGTTGTAGGAACCTGAGATTGACATGTGGCACACAAGAGGCTACTCAGAGAAGAAACATCAAATCTGCACAAACCTAAGGCGTGGATACAGCTTGGCTCGGAACCGGCCCACCTGCAGAATCCGCAGCCGTCTCTATTGTGAAGTTGGAGATGGTTACCTCCGAGCTTCGGCAATGGAGACATTCAGAGACGGGTCGAGCTCAACTCGGAGGGCTTCCAGACTTCAAAGCACAGGCCACCGCGACATTGCTTCACCCACTCGTGCACTACTTATAATTGATGTGAACTTCTGAACGGTGCAATACTGTATCCTGCTTTCTGGCGCATTTGCCAGGTGAAACTCTCCCAATGTTGGGAACGTTGACATCTCTTAGATTCCTCAACGGCTTTGAGTTTTCAAACTGTTTCACAAAACGATTCAAAATGTCTCTCCTCTGCTAGAGCCCTTTTCTCGTGCGTTTTCAGCTCCCAGAAACTCAGCCTCGTTGACTTCCGCTTTTAAAGCAGCTGCCACGCCGAGAGACACGAGCTTTCCCAGCTTATCCTCAGCCGGGCAACTTTGAGAGCTACTAGAGATGCTACTATATACAGTAGTAGAAAGAACAATTTTCAGCTACTTCACGTTCAGAATTTCAGCCGGCTTCTACACGTGCGAATCAAGGTACGCCGTGCCAAGCCAAGCGCCTACTTGTGCTTTAGACAATTTTAGGACAGTCATGTCTGGCGTACCCTTGCAGGATTGGCAGGGAGGATCCTGCCACCCATTTGACAGAGACATGTAGTTGCAAAACCCACGGTCAGGGTAACCCTAAGTGAAACAATGCGAGCAGTAAAACATTTTTTGACCTGACACGTTCAATCAATGATGCATTGACTGTCAGCCGGCCGCATTCAAACAAAACATCAAACAAAAACTAGCACCAATGTGCTCAACAGCAGAAGCACCAACAATATACCAAAATACACCAGCTATATTGTCAAAGGTTTAGAGTAATGTCCAGCGCATCCCAAATCTGGCAAAACAGAATGAGAACAATTACTCTGCACTTTTCCATTCCAAACAAAAATTCACATTGCATCAGTTACCTACACGCACAACACACACATATCATCACATGTTTTTCCTCTCATCAGATTTTCAACTTGAACCCTCACAGCTCTTAGCTTGGCTTGCCGGGAGCAGCAGGACCGCAGTCCTCCATGTGTAGAAGGCATGGGCATGGGGCAACTCTTGTGCCAGGGAGGCAATACACAAAGGTTTGATAAGGTTTGTGCTCTAGATTTTCTTTCCTTGTGCCGCCCGTGTATGGCCGGTCGCTTTTCCAGCCTAAGTATCATGTCACATCACGGCCCAGTAATTGTTGCCGTTTCAAGGTGCCAAAGGAAGTGGAAGCATATCAAACGCAGCAGCGACATCATGCACACACTTATTGACATGCGTACTGATTTGGTTGCGGTTGCCACACGCCCACCTAGGTATGACCGCTTGAGGGTTCAGGTAGTAAGTGAAATTCAGCTAAAGCACTCAAGGCTCATGAACTGAAAAAGCGGAATCGCGTCAGAGTGACGACGGGTCGTGCATGTCTGTTTCCGCCAACACAACCAGAAGAGGAAGAGGGAAAGGAAGATGATGGACATCCAAGCTGTGCACGCCGGCACCCATGGATTGTCCGCAATGCGTTCAAAGTGACATCCCAGCTGCGCAGACACCCAGGGACTGTCACTGCAGTGCCCAGCTATGGCCCCCACTGAAGGGGTTTGCCGTCCAGGGCAGCTGCTGCAGATACGTTTACACACCTGCCACCGCCGGTCTTCGTTGGCCCCCTGCTCAACAAGTAAAAAGAAAAAGGAATCCAAAAGGACCCCTGTGACTCCAAGAGTTACACTTGGACAAAGGCTCGCAAGAGCAGTATCAGTTGACGAAGTCCCAGTGAGGTCAGCACTTTACGATACTGATGCTGGACCTTGACTTGCAGAACTGAAGGAATGAATGCTGGCTGGGTCGGCAAAACTGAAATGTTTGAACATCACGCGTTAGCACTTTAGTGAACAGTGGGGTGAACAGCTTGATCAACAGTTCGACATGAAGAATTGAAAAATTGGTGCAGGCACGTTCTCACGGCAACATGGATGGGTCTTCGTTGCCATCCATGTGCCCATGGGCCCCCCTGCTAGTGCATGCGTGCAGGTCAAAGAATCGAATTAAGTCAAGTTCCTTGGAGACAGGTGTTGACACACACACACACAAGTTTGACAAATAAGGACCTCACCAACCAAGAGTAGGGGTCGGGGTAAAACAAAACATATGATAGGGTATACCCATCCGATCGTGAGGATACCTTCCACTTGCGGACGGGCGATTCCAGGGCTTCTAGACCATGAGCCCATGAGCCCCAGCTTTGTCTGGATGCAACAGTGTCCTGTGGAGAGTGGCCACGCAAAGGTTCACACAAGTCACACGAAGCCAGTGACTACAGTGTGCCCTTCTCCGGCTTTGGCCAAACTCTTCCGCACAATTCGGCCGCGGCGATATGTTGGTTGCGCAGCACAGAACTGTCCGAGCTAATTGCAAGCCTTTCTCCCCATTGCTCGGGGGAAAGTATGCAGCACTGTATGCAGGGTATCCGGAAGCTCCAATTCCTGAGGAGGGGACAGATGGCTGCCTCGCCTGTACATCCTGCAAGCTGCAAGGGGACAACATACATCCAAAGCGACTAACAACATGCACAAGAAAAGTAAAACATTCTTGCAACTGGCGGCCGACTAAAACGCTCTTGAATATTCAGCAAGGGGCAAGTGCTAACCATGCTGACAAAACACTGTGAGCCATGAGTCCTGCGCTGACACTTCTGGAGTTGGGGCACCGGCCACAGTGAAGACGACTTTGAAGGCGGGATCGCACTGCGCATGCGGTTCACATGTGCATGCACACGCCATTCCAGCATATAGACATAAAGAAAGCGGTGACGATCAGCCCTCAAATCAATAGGAACGATTGCCATCTCAATCACTGGTTTGGCCCAAACAGCGCACAATGATAGCTATCTTTTTCTTCCACACATAAGGCACACAGCCTCAACAGTGCTCAATCCTTCTGCAGCACAAATGTACTTTGCCCGATGTACTGCGATGAACACCAGCATTAAAAGCCTCTTAGGACACCAACAAGTGGGATGTGATCCTCACACGAGAGCTTGGCTTCTTTGGCTCGGCAGCAGGGTGCTTCCGACAATTGCCAGGCTCAAAAAGCCCATGACCTGGGGCCGGCCGACAAACATGCTTCACGTTGCATCACCTAGCGATGGCCTCCAACCTAAGGTAGTCATGAAGCCAAGGTGTCTGCAGCTCGAGAAGATGACCCAACACTGAAAGATGATTGGTTTGATCTCGTCAAGCCTCAGAACAGTGGAGCAAACAATGCACAAGGCTAACAAGGCCTTTCACAACAAAGCTTTAGCCCCGGGTACAACATGCTTGTGGACCTGCTACTGAGCCATACTAAACCTTGTCATCCATGCATCACACTTGCGATCCTATTTGGACTCTTTCACCTCCAGCAGTCGAGCGATTGTTGGATTCAAAGGCTTTCGCATTGCCCTCGTCCTTGGCCATCCGAACATCAATTGCGTCAGAACACGGCCAGTGTGATGCAGTGCGAAGAACCCGTGTTCATCCAAAGTCGCTTGAAGCAGTGAATCTGAATCATCTTGTGCAAGCAAATGCACCGAACTGCGAGCCACCAGTCGGTGGTCAGTGTCCTGAGCGAGATGAACTGCATCGAAGTAAACATGAAGTGAAGACGCTACTAGGGGCTCCTAGCCTTACTACTAGGAGCAAGAAGCCCAATTTTTGACAAAGAATTCTGGACCCCTGTTTGTTTTTTGGGTCCTCTATTACTATGCGAACATAAATTGGATTCTCATGTTTTTTTATTATCTGAAACATATTTAGGGTTAGTTATATGTCCTTTAGAAAAACACAAATAGTAATTCTTAATACTACTAAGCCAATGGTTGGCTTGCTGATTTCTTCAAAACTGACAGCTTCCCAAAACCATCAATTCCGTTAATCAATCCTTTATGTAGTAGTATGAAAGGATTGCACAGAATACCTACAGGAAGGAAAATGAATACTACAAGCAATTACAAAAGGAATCCTCCCAGGAACCCAGATTTGTTTTGGTGGTACCTGGTAGTTTATTATAGAGTTGTTTGAGGGAGGGGGGGGACCCCCTTTACTAATCAAGATCCAACATTAGACATGAAATGAGCACCAATGATCAAACTGTACCAACTCGGCCGGGGGACATCTCCCACCTCGCACACGCACGTCAGCTTCTCTCCACTCAGTGGAGCCGGACGCAACCAATCCACCAGGACAAATCCAGAACTCCGTTGATGGGACCGTACGACCTCCAGCATTAAAGAGGAAGGAGCATCAAGGCGGACTACAAACACAACAGAGTTAATTATACAATAACAATCAAGCAACATGCGATGAAACGCGGCAAGCTAGCACAGCTTTTGGCGTCGCGCTCGGGTGCATGGCTCAGGACCCCTGCTCAACTGGTTCCTAGCTCACAACAGTGTGGCGTCTGCAAATCTTTGTTTCATCTTGTTGTCCATGTTGTTTTGAGTATTCCTTATCCTGGTAGCTGCCAGCGCTTAGCGTGACACGTCCTTCGTCATTCTTTCAGGACTGAATTAACGCCCAATTCCTTGAATGGTGATGGTTTCTGATTGATTCCACGTATTTAATGGTCCGATTCTGTGGTCCGCAGCCATGCGGCCCATGCAACAGTTATTCTTCCTCTCTCGCAGGGTCTACTGTGCTCATAGAGAATCGTCATTGCTTAGCTCCCCAATGGTGTGGGTGATAAGCGACGCGCGCACACACAAATGGAATGCCAGTCCATACGCGCGGCCATCACATTCTATTAAGATACATAATGCATATATTCTTCAACCTTATTCAATCAAGTATTCTGAGAACGTCTCCAGCAAAAAAAGGAAAAAGCACCAGTGGAATGAATCTGCAGGAAGAAACGTTCACGTGAAGCCAGGATACAGCGTCATAGACTTTGCCATCACCAGCCTCAAGTGCTTGAAACCTGCTAATTAACTAACAATTGCCATGACATGCTGAATCAATCACCCTCTGCACTTTCTCCAATCTGACATGGTACCCAAACCGCGCGAACACGTCTTCCAGGATCCAATACAATAGCACGCTCGCCCGGCGCCAGCAGCCGCAGATCGAAGGGATCTGATCTACCCACACTGTTGGCTGCCATGACCTGCAAGTCGACAGGGTGAACAACAATTACGTGAAAGGCACACGTTCAAAGGGACAACATGGTCCCGTGATGTGCCAAGGCGAACGGCCTCAAGAGCAATTTCTTCTCCGCAGGGTAGTCTTCTTACCCAAAGAGGCTTGTTTGGCTTGCCACAGGCCAAGGGTTCAGCTTCGTTGGCGCCCTTGCACAGCACGTCAACAGTCAAATTGGAAAACACCAGCCAAGAAAAGTCAAATCCTTGTCTCAGAGCAGTAGTAACCATGCAGCCACGTCTTTTTCTGCTTACAGCCCCCACCTGTCTTTGTACCAGCACGCTCTCCTTGGACTCTTGGACTGTCCGATTTCCCCTCGCTACTTCCAACTATCTCCGCAAGACATGCACAACAAATAGCAAGCGTCACGGATGATCCTACACTCTCTATGTATAGACGGCACTTCCACTTTTGGCAGCGCTTCATCTACAACACAGTCTTTGCAAAGGCAACTGGTAAACACTCGGCAAGCTTCTGCCGGTGCGCAGCTCGTAGTTGTGCCGGCATAGGGGCTGTGACCTGCTTTCAGGGAATGACCATGCTTGCTTCTTTTCCCCTATGCTTTGTCCACTCTACTGTACTCGGAAAAGAAAGCCGGCAGCAGTGAGCGCAGTCCGTTCTCCTATAAGGTGGGCCAAGTACATTGCGGCTGATTACGTATGTCATGTATATACTATACAGTATAGCCTTAGGCCTTAGATAGCTTCCAAGCCAACTAGCAGTTCACTATGTTGACCCTTGCCTTCCTCAGCTGGAGAATATGCCTCCACCGTGATTTCAAGCTCCAGATCAGCAGTGCATGAGTCAGTGTCGATGACCCATCTGAGAGAAAGCGCCCCACCACAACAACACACGCAACAACTGATGATCTTCATCTTCCGAGTCTACATCGTTGCACTTTGTATTGCTTCTTTTGGCCCGAGCCTTCGCACAAATGCGGTGAGCGAGGCTGGTCGTTGCACTCCTAGGAGGTGCTGCAGCTCGGGTTGGACGGCAATGTCATTTCTCGACAACAGCCGTTGAAAGTACCTTCGACACATTTCGAAGAAACAACAGTGCATTGGACAAACTGTAATTGAATCGAACCGAATGCACCACCTCTGTTGATCAAAGGTATGCAAGGCCAGTGTCCAGGAATTGCTAGGCATTGCCGCACTGCTCAAAAAGTTGATTCACGTCTGGCTCCTTTGGAACAGCTTCAATTGACTCAACCAAGGTGCTCTTGGAAAGCAGACACCCGCCTGAGGAGTGGGGCAAACGGCTTCAATGCCAGCATTCGTATTACATCTGATTACATTTTCAAGCAAACTCCACCCAAACGCATGCTTCGCCCATCTTTGTCCATATGGTTTTGTGATGAAAACAACTAGTGATAAACCAAAATGTGTTTGTTCTTGTTGCCTTTGCCGCCCTCGTACGAATGTGTGCACGCCCCCCTCAAACAACTCTACAAGACTCTACAATATGTTTGATGCATTACTCTGCGACTCTGCTTCCCCCGCAGGCATGAGGATTGTAACGCCTATGACCTTGCCAGTAACAATGTAGTACACAAATAATGCTTCTGCGTGCCTTTGTACGCATCTGGTTGTGAATTTTGTGCACTTTGACTGCAGTGGTGAGCAAGGCAACTAACAGTAACTGACACTGTCAAGGTGCTCGACGGCGAGATTGTGACCAAAGAGCAAGCTCAAGCTGTGGAGCGCTTTTGGCGGAAATATGGGCAGCTTCCCCACGCGGCCTGTTTCACAGAGTGTCACAACACTTCCTCTTGTCACCTTCATTTCCACAAACTAGCTAGCCGCCTGAGAGAAGGTCATGGACGCACAATAGCTCACTGTAGCGTCTGCGGACCTGTGACCAGGTGAGGAACGGCAAGTACAGAAGTGAACTGACGTTTGGAAAGCCCCGAGGTTTTCAAAAAGCGGCTGCATATGCTTTTGTACAGGAAACACAATGTGTAGATAACATTTTGTGAGAAGGTTCGTGCCTTCCATGCACATCCACTTGGCAGATGGACGACGTGGAAAATATACTCTACGTGGCCTTGACCGTGAGGCAAGGCAAGCGTTCAAACAGATGTCCACGTGGATGTCGCAAGGCAACCTCCTTGCCGTCAAGGTGCTCCCAGTGTCATCGAAGCCAGTGCAAAATACAGAGAACAACGCTGGTTCCATTCCAGTCTAATTAATTAAACTTTATTGTACAAAGACACGTCCCTACCCCTGAAGTCGTCTGAGCCAAAAGGCTATGTGGGAAGTCTGGGCTGCTGTCGAATCGTCGAACAATATATAACATATAGGCATATAGGCGGTGCACTTCTTCACAGCAAATGCCGTTGTCGTATTCTTTGTCCCTGACTGAAGCCGGTCATAGGAAACCTGAAGGTAGCAGCTGGGATTCAAGATTGTCAAGGTGCTTCAGGCATTCTTGTATGATTCATTCCAAGCTGCGTCATCAAGGCTTGCTGTGACTCCCAGGATGAGCAAGGCCCGGAAAGACCTAAGGCGAGTTTCTGTAAACTGCAATAGTGCGCCTACCGGAGAGGTACGGGTGGGGGTGCGCCCACAGCCGCCGACCCAGCGCAGGGACATTCGGGGACGTTCTACTGGAAACTCGCTGGCCACTGGGTAGAGCGTGGATGGAGGCATTTTTTAGAAACAGTCCAAGAGCGATCAACGTAACATAGCCGCAGCAAGATGGACCAACATAGCCCCAACATGGCTCTAAGATGGGCCAACATAGCCCCAACATGGCTCCAAGATGGGCCAACAAGCGTATGCCCACCCCAACTCCGCAGACTGAGTAGGAATTCATCCAGTCAAAAAGCGCAAACGCGCCGGCCCTAAGGGCAGCCGGCATGGAAACTGCTAAAGAAGGAACGCACACTTGGCAACAGCTTACACCCGCCTCACAACCACAAGCTGCATAAGCCAGTGGTGGCACGCATTGACCTGTGGTGACCTCCGGCGTCCGGTCACACACTTCACTTCCATGCTGCGTGAGGAACTTGCAGTTCACTTAGCTGCTTTGCGCCCCTGTTCTCAGCAATGGGTGAAGCAAGTGGACAGGTGGCTGACGGTGACCCGCGGCGAACTCTGGCGCAAGGCGCATGGAGCAACACTCTCACAGCCCGAGGGTGTGAGCCACCAAGCCCTCGTGTTAGGTAGCGAGGCACTTGTTACTAATGGCTTCTTGTTACTACTCGTAAGGCACTTGTTACTACTAGCGAGGCACTTGTTACTAATAGCTTCTTGTTCCAGGTTTTTCCCCCCCGGATTTTGGGCCCTGTGGACTTACAGCTCGCATCCATGTGTTGCGATGCGGATGATAACCTATGGATACGTGTATTTGACCAGCTTAAGCCAACAAGCGTGTGCCCACCTCAGCTTCGCAAACTCAATAGGAATGCATCCAGTCAAACAAAGCGGACGCGCTGGCCCTAAGGGCAACCGGCATGGAAATTGCTAGAGAAGGAACACACACACTTGGCAAGAACAGTTACTGTATCTCGGACCCCCACCGAGCCCTGCTTACACCGCCTGCACCCTACAAGGCCTGACGTCTGCACCTGCCCTGGTTGCCTGCCTGGCCCGCTCTTAGGCGTAAGCCCTTGAACAAATATATGGTCACACATGCCTGCTCTGGGATGCTCACTGGGCTGGCACATCGTGATGAGCCAAACATTGAAAGCCTCATGACATCTTGCAGCATGCATGCGCCAAGTGGTCAAACAAGCATGCCAATTGTGTCTTTGACAAAGCTGGACTCTGAACAACTCCAAGAACGTCTTTGACATCGACTGATGGACCGAAAGCTTTTGCGCCAAAGATTCTGAAAGCTCCTCCGGCACAGTCACTGGAAAGCGGAAATCCTAGCTAACGCGTGGCAGATGCAATTAAGCACCAAGCAGGCACCAAGGTGTGCTACAAACACAGCAAATAAAACCCAGGTAATTTGTGGTTCTTGTTTAGGCAGGCTGGCCTCCTTATATACACGGTTTGCCTGCAAAGCTATAGTCAAAGGAAGTTTAGTGTGCAAAACTTCCGTGTTAAGGACATTCAGCAGCTGTTCAACCACCACTCATCATACACCACTCATCATACACCACTCATCATACACCA